TCATTCGTGAAGAAGAGTCATCGATTGGTATTATACAACCGCCGCATATCCGCGCACACGTCTGTCGGCTGATTAATTGCCAGTAACACGATTTCCTCTCGACGATCTTTTGACCTTTTCCACACGGAACATACTCACGCTTGCACACGCACAAAGAGCCGTACTAGGGCCGTCATTGTTAACTCGAAATGCGTTTCTCCTTTAGGACAGTCGAGGTTCCTGTTATTGACACATACTCTTTACATAGACCAACGTCGTCAACGATAGATCCACGCCATTGCTTTACCGATGCCTGTCGAAACACAATTAATTAAATGCGCTACGAAATTGAGCTTGTTTTACTCATCGAGCTAAAACTCATTGCGTGTTTGCCTCAAAACGTCCAGAAGTTGAAAAAGAATGGGCGAGAGAAAGAGAAAGAATAGAGGGACAGGTACACGCTTTATAATGATTCGAGATTTAAGAACCGGTTCTGATCGCAGTTCGATTGGCAGAAAGTAATAGCCAGAGAAGAAATTACGAGCATAACCTTAGGGTAAAAGAATAAGAATAATAGATAGTCAAACCATATGTTAGAAAAGATAGAGTAATGAGACTGAATAAAAACATCAGTAAATTCAATGAATAATTAATATCAACTAATATAAATGACGTCGGTTCGTTAGAGATTTCTTTAAGGAAATGGATCGTTTCATTGTTAGTTTGATAGATGTAACGAATTGTCTTTAGATAATGACAAAATAGTAATTGAAAATAATTGAGAAACAAGAATATCTATACCAATATTGACTTTTATTTTGCTATTCTTATGAAAAAGAAGTATCATAAAAAATTCAAGCATCGATCACAGAGACAAAATCGCGCATACATTTGCGCAACTTTATCCCGCGCACATAGAAGTCACTTGATTTATACGCTCGTTCTCCTTAATCGTATAAAACGGACACTTAAAAAACATTCAAATGACACGAAGACGAATCAAAAAGTGTATGCATTACTTATAGGAATATACATACTTCTTTATTCAAAGTTTTCTTGCAGTTTGGCAAATATTGTTTTATTATCATGTCATTCAAATGTATCAATATAAATAAAAACACGAAATCGAAATTTATGAAAAAAATGATATTTTGTAGCATTTTGTAACAATATTACGCTATATATGTTAAGAATGTAACAAAATATTGTATGTAGGAATACGAAAAATAAAAAATTTTATGACTATTCTACGAAAGTAAAAGTACCACTTTTAAATGAAATTATTTCGAAGAAACTTAGCAATGAGGACTATTCTATTTTTATGCTTCGTTTCTAGGCGTCTGTGACAAATTGTAATTCGATATCTTGTTTACTTTTTCGATAACTAGTCGATCGTAATATAATACATCTGTGTCAGACGTGATAGTCTCGTTTATACCACTAAATAATTTATTGTTCAAATATCGAATAAATGTAAAACTTATATATATATATATTGATGTATAGTATTGAAAAGTTTTCAGTTGGAAACGTGTTTCCCGACTATCGAACATATATGAGATAAGACGCAACAAGTTCGATGAAATCGAAACGATTTATCATTAACTTGTTAAGTTGCTTATTATTTTAGACAAAAAGTTGAAACGTGAAAAAACATATTTCAAGATACTATGTGCGATAAGATGCAACAAAATGTGTTTGATTAGTATTTAAATGAAATTTTTATACATTTTTCTACTGACGAAATTCAATATGCGTGCTAAATTTTCCGAGTTCTATAGTTTATACATATCCTTATGTCAACATTTATTTTTAAAAAGATCATTATAAGATATCACTCGTATAAAACAATACATAATATTTAAGTGAAAAGCAATAAAAAAAACTTAATCAAAATAAGAATAAGAGCCGGATGGAATAGCGTGCTAAATATTTCGCGTATAATTGACTTTTGTAAATCGTTTATACACATTGCTACGAAAATTAAAAATTACTATTAATTCAAAGCATTATAATAGATTTGAGTCTACAATTAGTTTGTTATGAACAAATTTATTAACTTGTTGCAAGATGCGTGCACTGTTCCATCCTGTCTCTTGTAACTTTCACAAGATAATTTGATTTCTACCTGATTGTTGATTCCAAAACGGTATCCTATAGAATGGCATAATTGGCACGAAAAAGATGGTTTAATGGACATCCCATCGTTCGTCACTTTATTGAATTCGTATATCTATGTTCTTTCTCGGTTTTTCACGCACACACGCACGCAGACGCAGCACTAGCACGACGGCGACGCAGTGCTGACAAAGAGAGGTAACCCAGAGACCGGGTGCCGGTTCGCTGTTGGAACAGTCTCGAAAATGCATCTTCGATAGTAGCATCGGTTTGTAGGTGAAAAACAATGAGAAAATATCGCGTGACTAACCGCAGCAATAAGACTATTAAGAATGACGAAACAAATATGCGGCGAAAGTAACAGAAACGACGGAAAAGGTGGCACGATTCGCGGTCGCACGAGAAGGTTGCCGGCTGCCGCCTTGGCACTGACAGTGGCCCTCGCGCCTAGCAACACCGAACGCCAAACTGTCGACTCGCTGAAGGCAGCCGGCACCGCACCACCGTGCCCCCCTTTTT